CCTGACACGTAATAATTTGAAATAATGGAATCGACAACAAAAGACAATCTCGAAAATATTTTTTTTTTTAAATTTTAATTTTATTTTACTTTGCATGTCTTTTTTCTCTTCATTTTCATGCATTGTCATCCAATTCTGAACTGTGTGCTAAATTTGAAGTTTGTAGCTAGTCGGGAAGTTAGTTTAAAATCGATTACAAAATTCCACCCGGACAGACATACACGAAGGCAAGTTTATATAAACGTGGTAAAAAAAGGAATTGCTTCTCAACAAAGAAAAAAAAGCAACACTCCAAAAATATGTCTTCATGACGATTATAAAACACTTCATATGAATTTAGAAATACTTAAGTTTTCTATAAAGCAGGGAAGTGTTATCGTCTTGCCTTTCTTTCATTCACGAGAGAACCGGGAACATAAATGGTTGGCTATGTTGAACTCCTACGAACTATTATAGGCTATAGTGTTTTTCCTACTGCTGGTTGTGGATGATGTTATTTTTTATAGATATTTTTCTAGACTTTTAGGCTTTGTTTATATAAAGCAAAAAAGTATAGCAGAACTCCTGTGATGCATTCTTTTTTTTTTCCGTAATATAAAATATATAGTTTACCTTGAATATATTTCCTGACTATTCCTTGAATATATAGATATGAAGGAAATCTAGACCTTGAATCTATTTCCTATATTTGAATATGATTCATTGAGATAATGTTTATATTACAACTTTAATACTTTAAGTGATATTAATCGAAAAACATTTATGTGTGTATTAAAACACTCTATTTTATTTTCAGGTAACAAAGCGAGACTTGATTTTGACATCAAAATATTTATATTTAATAGGCAGAGAAAAGGTATTTTTCTTCTTCCATAAAAATGTACTTCATCTAATTATGTAGATTTATGTTTTAAATTTTGTTAACATTTTCGCATTTAGATCGACATAATAGACTAATATTTTTTTTAAAAAATGAATATAAACCTCTAAGTTTTGATCCCAAAATCAATTTGGACTTCAATTGTTGCTTTTCTCTACATCAAGCCTGTTTCCTTTTAATGGGGATAATATTTATGCATTTAAATTGTTATGATTGGCTTTTGTTGTGATGAATGTTTAATTAGTTACAGTTGAAATGTAAATCATAACTAATTAAATTTTTATCGTAACAAATCGAGCAAAATAACACTTATAACTTTCATTGATACCTAAACTGAAAAAGAAAAACAAATTGAAAGATGTAAAATTAAATGTTTCTAAAATAAAAGAAATTGAAACCAAAAATGAAGGTATTCAGCTGCTTTGGTGTAGTTGACTTCCAATATCTTTGATAATGAATTAGATGCTAAAGAAAACTCAAAGTTGTTTTTTTTTTTATTATTATTATTTTTTTTTAGCAAGAAAATTATCTATAGTTGCAAAATTATATTCTTTGCTAAATTTATAATAGTACAAAAATGCGTTTATCCTTTATAATATAGCATTGCATTCTTTCAGAAGTTACAGTTCATTTCTCATTGATATTATTTTATTTATTTATTTTTTTTGGTGCCTGAAGGTTGCAATTTGTTTCTGATTCCTTATAATGAATTAATATCATTTTAAAGTAATAGTGTGTATTTCTTTTTCTATATGTATAAAAGTAAAATTAACAATAAGGCATTGAAATAAAATTGAATTACCTTTATATTATTTGTAGGTAAAGAAAGGTCCAGAAAAAGGGTATTACAAAGAAGTTGTGAAAAGAAAAATTGAAGTAGAAAATATTACTCATCTTTCTTTAAGGTGTGTATCAATTTTTAGATTAGCTCTTTATTTTAAGTCAAAAAAAACACAAATAAGACTATATAAACAGCAATATTGAAATACAGAAGAAAAAAAGGAGATAAAATGTATTTACTCCTTAAGGAGTTCAATGTGAAATAAGTTTACCCCAACTTCTGCTATTTATCTTTTTCTTCTTGAATGAACCTTTTTTTTAAAAATTTAAATCTCATTACTTGCTTGTTATACCCACCTAATTTGTCAACCCTATTTGGAACTGTCTTCTGCATTTCTATATTTTTTTCCATTATTTATTTCAAGCATGCCCATTGATAAGTTTTTTGATGTATTAGCCATTAATAATTTTCCTATGTCTTTTTGAACAGCACTCACCAAGATGACTTTGTTGTCCTTCATGTAAAGAATGATTACGGAAGTCTATTGGAAATAACTTTTAAAACAGAGTTCCTAACATTACTCAGCAAAAGGTTCTATGAAAAAACAAATAAAACTCTAAATCTACAATTCAATGATTTGTAAGTTTTGTTGTTGTTTTTTTTTTTTTTTTTNTTTTTTTTTTTTTTTTTTTTTTTTTTTTTTTTTTTTTTTTTTTTTTTTTTTCATTATATTTTTAACATTTATTAAATATTAAATTTACTATAATTTTGTTTCGATATAATTTGAAATAAATAGTGTAAGCCGTATTTTATGCAGGCTTCAATGTATTTTTGTCGAAAACATTCATTTTAATTTCAACACCAATTAAAAGATAGAATTTAATGTTTGTTTGCTATAATATTTATTTATAGAATTTTAAATGAGGAAAAATAAAAATTTTATTTTTTAACCATGTTATAAAAGTTAATCAATTTTCTTTCCAACTATTTATAGTATTATTAAGTATTTTAATTTAAATAAATATAATAATGTATTCACTTCCTTTTTTTTTCTAAAATAGGTTCTTGAGGTTTAGATTTCTTTCATTTTTAAGTTTCATTGACTGTTTGTTCTTTACGTGTTTTCAGAACAATATTATATTTCTAATTCTGCCTAACACAAGCAACTTGTTTTAGAATTTCCTCTTGTCTGTTAATCGAAATAGCCATTTGTATTTGTAGTCTTTTTAGTCTGTTTGCAGTTAAGAAAAAAAGTTTACTGTAAATCATATACTTTGCATAATTTAATTTCACATTTTACAATAAATTATCTATTACTTATGCCAAATTGAATGTTGATTTGAGATTATGTGAGCATAAAAGCCAAAAAAAAATTTTTGAAGTGAACTTTTTATTTTATTTTTTTAGATTAGAGTTTAAAGTTAAGAAAGAAGGATTTGGTGGAGGTGGAACCAAGCAAGTGAAAGTCATAAATGGTCACGGTCAAGATTCTCAACCAATATGTAAAATAAGTGGGAAAATGATGACCGTCAGTATTGCTCAAGGTCTTCCCAAAGAGACCCGTAAGTGACCTGCATTATTTCGTATTATTAAGCATTTTTCTTAGGTTTAAAAAATTTATTTTAATGCTGTGCAAAATTCTTACTCTTTCATGCATTAGTCATTTATTTAAGATTGTTATCACAATTTGTTCAACTGCAATAATTACAATTCTTTATGCTGCAAAAATTACATATTTTTCTAATCTGCGCAAAAGATCTAGATTTAAATTTTTTCACTTTAATTTTGCTGTGTCTTTGTTATGGTGTTGACACTCCAATCGTCTGTTTTTTTTTAACAATGCACCATTGTGATTTGTACAAAGCGCAAAAAAAAGAACGTATGAATAACTTTTACTTTAATAATTGGCTCCCATTCTATGTTACTAAACAATATTTTCCTAAGTGTGGCTTTTTTACCCTTATTTTGAGGGTCAATAATCCAAACTCATTGAAAAAAAAGCGTATGTTTATTTAGAGAAAGTAGGCTTTGTATGTTCTATGTATGTTTTTATGTTGTGCATGGATGCCACTTTTCAATCTTAAGAACAGAAATTGGTCTTGAGAAAAATCAATGGACTAAATTCCATCAGTTAAATTATTATTTTTTTTCATTAGAAATATTTAAAAAAAAAATTTTGTTAAAAATTAAAAAAATTACTTTTTAATGAAAATTTATATTTTTCACAATTATTGCGAAATGATCTTTTCATGATGTCACAGTGCATTGAAAAAATGGTGTCAGGACTTTTATTTGTCTTTCATTCGTTAGCCTTACTAAATCTTATTCGTAAAGTTCTGTCAATTGGGATTAATTGAATTTCAACATCTGCTTGTGTAAAACAAACTTTGTGCTATTGCTGAATCCAAATCTGCTTGAGTTTGCATCCCCCAATAACCTGTTAACATGCTAGTTAGAGTGAAATCAAGATTATTTTTTAAAAAAATTATAGTGCTAGGACAAAAATATATTATATGAAAAATAGAGATATGAATGATTTGAAGAAAAAGTTAGTTGTTCAGTACATTGGTGTTAAAAGATATACAAGATTAGCTGTTATTTTTGTTTTGTTTGCTTAAGAAACGCATAAAATGACGAAAACATTTTTTTAGACAGAAGTCGAATTCTTGGTCATAGATGGCGCCACTGGAAAACAAGAACAATCGCACCCCCTCTACCTAAACAGGCATACGTCAACAACAAATTTTAGAAAAAATAAACAAATACTTGATTTAATATGTAGGCTATTATCAAGAAAAGGTAAATTATGGTGTCAGTGTGCTATAAATTTCTAAAAGTTCGGTAAACAACTCTAAACAGTATTAATTGATCAAAAAATAACTTCATCTTTAAATTTTTTGGAGGGGCACCCTTGGTTGTGTGTTAATGCAAAGTTTGCTTTGGAATCAGCACTTTTAAGATGTGCATATATTTATTGTTGTTTTTATGTTTCCAATGGAGTGTTTTTATTTAACAGATAAAAAAATTTACTTACTGTAAACAAGTTTAGTTAAATTATTCAGTGGTTATAAAAGAAAGAACAATTTTTTATCTATTAAACTTATGTCTTTAACTTAAGTTAATTGTATTGATCATCAAAACAAGAATTACAGTATCTTAAAATGTTTTTTTGACCTAGGTCCTGGTGTCAGAGATGTCAACGTGAGAAACCGAAACTCTGTCCGTCCTCTCGTCAACCACAAATCAAGGTCATCCACAAGGATAGTCACAAGGAGAAATGCCCCTGCTCCCCCCACCTCTAATCCTGCTTTACAGCTTGCACATGCCTTAGAGTCTAGGAAATTAGGTAAACAGTTAAAGCCTAATTTTACTTTTGATGGTTTGTTCTAATTTTTCTGTTAGTGAAATAATCTAAATATTAGTAGCTTAGCTGCAAGGGTTGTTTTTTTTACTGCTGTCTGGGCAAGGTATAGAAATTAAAAGAATTTCGGTATGACATTCTGATAAACTTTTTTGTTTGTAAAATTAAAACAGTAAAAAACTGAAAATTGAGAAGAAAATTTTTTTGTCATATTGATTTTGCATTTGAACTTATAGTTGTTTTATTTTTAAAAAATATTAAATTAACTGGTTTTGTATTATGTATCATACAGCACGAAAGAGAGCTGATCAAAAGTTAATCATATTTTAAAAAATCTCATTAATGAAATTAATGATATTTTTAAAAAAAATCTTATTTATTTTTTTAAAAAACTGGGCAAAAAAAATGAAACATTTCATATAAATTTTCATTATGTCTTGTAAGTGTTAGTTTTATGAGTATGTGTTCATTTTTGCTGTAAGTTAAATTTCATTGTTCGTCTGTAGCAAATGCCAAAAACAATCAAAGGAACAGCAATGATAGAATGCCCGCTTTAACCAAAGCATTCCTGGAGAAGAGGCTAAGTTCCCAGAATAAAACCCAAGCTAGCAATGGGAATTCTCAATTTTTGAACACCCCTGAGCCAGGTGTAGCTGGGTAAGCAATTCTTTTTTTTTTTAATTAAATGTTTGTTGGTTTTTTCCTAAGAAAAATCTGTTTTTAAAACATTTTAGAAATACTGTACATGTCACTATACATTTCTTTTATATTTAATATACCGTGTTCCATAGTTTTAGTTTCTAATGTTATAAAGTTGTTTTTAATTGTATTAATATTTTTTTATTATTTTTATTCTAAATATTTATAATAAAATTGTATTTAAACTAAGATATGTTAATCCTCAGTTCAGTTGTGTATTTCAAAGGGTTTTTCATATTTTAGGTAGTTTTAAGTCCTCTCCCTTTTCCTTTCAGCAAAAATAGACCAATCACAATCTGATATTTTAAAAAATAGAAATATTGAAATTTTGATTTTTTTTTTTGAAAAATTTAATTTATGTGAACAATTTATTTTTTGACTCCTAAATAACTTTGAATGTAAAGCAAATGATTTACACCTAAAGTGAATAATGTAAAATTTGTAGAGTGACTTTAAAAAGCTGAAAAAGAATCCATTTTTAAAAGCTAATCTATTCCAAACAGGGCTCGAAAAAAACTCAGAAATTTTACCCGTCCCCGAGGACGGCTTGTCCAACAATGCACCCGTCCTCCGTTGAAACTAACCCGTCGCTTTTAAATAAATAAAAATATCATTTTCTCCTATTTATTACAAACATTTATATAAATTGCACAATGAATTAGTCGTTACTAGGATTACGTTATGCAGTAATAAAAGAAATACTAGGTTACTAATAGTAACCCAGTATTTCTTTTATGAAATAATTTAAATTACAAAGGTCAAGTTATCTGGAATGTCAAGTTATCGAGGGTACTGCGTTTTTTAAATGAATCAAATATGACGTTTGCCAGTTCCACAATCAAGCCAATGATTTACAGAGGTTTCTGAACAGAAATCTGAAAGGGGTTTTTCATAATTGCTTTTAAAGCTTCTTGTTTAAGACCAGTACGTATCGTATTTTTTTGTAAGTTTATTGCTGCAAAGCCCTTTTCAATCGCTGTAGTACTCCCAGGCAGAGAAAACATCAATACATGCGCAGTATGCTTCTGTATTGTGGGTCATTTTGCTGCCTTGTAACTTACAAGACTCTTGTAAGATAACAAAAATTGAAAATGTATCACGAACATTAACGGGAAAATAGCCATCCGCGCGGACGTCAGATTCGAGAAATTCGTTGTCCGCGGAGAATTTTTGACCTTCGAGGGCGGGCGGGCTGTTTTCGAGCCCTGATTCCAAATCAACTTTTATTATGTTTGTTCTTACCTTCATAATTATCCGACATCTAAAATTAGTAATTAATGTCCTCTTATTCATTGTACCATGTGCATCTATTATTATGATGCAAAATAATTATTTTAGTTTGTTATTTATTTGAAAATTTTTAAGAAAATTCTTTATATGTGTGCACTTTGTTCATTCTATGTGTGCAGTTTGTGGAGACTTGCAATGAAGAGCATGCAATGAAATCACATGAAAGTAAAAATTATTGTCACAAGGTGTATGCAATGGAATGAGATGAAAATGAGCATAATTTCCACACATAGATTGAACATGAGGCTTTTCATTATGTCGAATTTTGTGTTGTATAAACCATTTCAAGAGTCATTGCACTTACCTATTAAACATGATAATATATCTGTGGAAAAGATCAATATTAATGCTTAAGGGGTCATTGCAACATTTTTTTTTAAGATAGGGATATAATCATTTATTTTGCGGTTTGCTTTACATGCTCATTTAACTTATAATTGATAATTTATCTTCAAAAAATAGTTAAACTGGTTAATTTTTTAAAATATTAAAAAAAAAAAAATTTTTTTAGTGCTTACAATAAATATTGTAAGCACTAAAAAATCTTAACAATTTTGTGCATTCATTTGTTGATATATCAATTAGAACATTTTTTATAGATTCTTTTGTAAAAAAGTAGAAAAAAAAGTTACAACTTCTTGTAAGGTATATATAACATGGTATAAAAATTTTAATACCTCATAAAATACTTATTCAATGCAGATTTAACTTAAGATAAAAATTGTAAATCATGTATTATACTTAAGATAAAAAAAGTTTACTTCAAAGCTTTATCTTAAAAAAATTCCTTAGGGATTTAATTAAGATTGAAACACAAAATTATCATCTATGAGAAAAAGCACTTTAAAGTCTGTCTGCTGATCAAGTTTCTGTTTTAGGGCAAACTAAAATCATTTATAACTTTTTTTAAAAATGTAGATAGAGAGATGATTTTTTTCCAGTGCATTTGAAATAGTTTGAAGTTTTATTATAGGCAATTAAAAAATATGGATATTTTAGTCATTTTTTGGGTACTGTGACCCCTTAAAATTAACATTTAAATACAAATACTTTAAAACTCAAAAACATGCACTTGAGTACTTATTTCTAGAGGAAGAAAAAATTTAATTATTAAGAGCGTTATAAATAAAATCCAACTAATTTATTGATTTTGATTTGCCTTAAGAATTTTAAAATTATTAAGGTACATGGAGAATCCAATTGTAAAGATCTTTAACTACACTTCCACATTTTTCAAAGAGGTCTTTCTTCATTCATATATTTAAGCATTTCTAAAATTTAATGTTTACAAATCAGAAAGCAAAGAGTAGAGTGTAATTCAAGTTGGGATTAAACTCATTATTTTTCAATATTTGTTCATTGAGTTTTGGGATATGCTTAAAACTTTGATTTTTTTTAAATCAAGTTATCATAACTAAACTGAAATATAGTATTATATTTCTCAGCTTCTATTCTATTATTTAGCATTATAAAACATTATTATAATGCAGTTGAAGCTGAGAAAAAATAATATGAGATTGAAACATATCGTCTTGATTTCTTAATTTTTATTCATTCAGAATAATAAACCTTTAAGGTTGGCTATTTATAAAATCAAAAACAACTGATTATGACTATTAAAAAAATATCAAGGTCTGTAACTGTTATAGATAAATTTTAATTTAAAGTGCTAAAGTCTGTTTTTAAGAAATATAGAGTATTATTGTGCATTTAAAAAAAAAATTAATCTTAATTGTTAAGAGGAATTCATAGACTATTGTTAAAATAATGACAACATAGTATACTTTTTCTAGTTTGCAACGATCTCAAATTAAACCTGCTCCTGGTGGTGGTAGGCCCAAACCACCTGCTAAGCCAAAACCTGCACTGCCACAATGTAAGGCCATCTATGCATATGAAGCACAAGATACAGATGAGTTGACATTTAATGTAGATGAAGTCATAACAGTCATCAAACAAGGTAAGGATCTATACATAGTGACACAGTAAATTTTAACTAGCAGTAGAGAAGTTTTTATATTGATGTCTGGCAGTTTTGAGCCTGGCAATCAAAGAAGATTAGTGCACGTTAAATCTGTTGGGTCACAAAGCCCTCACTGTTCCCAAAACAATATTTATTTATTTTTTAATTTTTTATAACCGTCGTTGAACTGCCGACCCAATTTTATGGGTTTACAACTACTAACGTTTAACTCCGTAGCCTTGTAATTTTGAACCCAATCCAGAAGACAAGGGAACTACCAAGACTGAGTATTGGGAGAAATTTGCCTTTGTGGAGGATTTTTTTTTTTTTTTGATGGAGCTAACCCCCATTTGCGTTATATGGAGAGGAAGACCACGAGAACTTCCCACGGTTAGCCTGATGGCAAGGGGACTCTAACCCATAATCCGTCTACCACTGAGGATATTTCACGTCAGCACTGATGATGCGTATTGACTGGGATTCGAACCCTGTTCGCCTCATTGGAAGGCGAACGCTCTATCCCCTGAGCCATCGCGGCTCTCCCATAACAAATTAAACCTTTGGGGGTACTGAATTGGAGATGATCATGATTGTTCTCTGGTTCAGGTCAAAATTATGATCTGTGGATGAATGGGCTCGCCTTATAAACGGGTGTGGCAGAAGTCTAATTCTTGGCCATAGATGGCTCCACTGGAAAACAAGAACAATCGCACCTCTTGCCATAATGGCCTTAGTACTGAAAAACAAAAACTATAATTTTCTACCACATTTTTGTTAATTCCCATTCATGTCTGTGAGAGTGGTATCTTGCAGTTGCAATTTTTACCACATTTCCAATTAGCGAGAACACTTAAACCTCTATTGGTACCTGATATCCATACAAATTTCAATTTTTTATTGGCTGCTGCTAGCAGGATTTATGATCACTCAAAATTCCACTTTCCAATTAACTAGAGTGATTAAATCTCATCTGGGATGAAATATAGTATATTATAAAATTTGCATGTCAAACTTTCGTTTTGTGAAATGTTATTTTTTATGAAATATTACTGTGCATAGCAAAAAATCTGGAATTTTGTTTTGTTGACATTTTTCTGAAAAAGTCTAGGGAATTATATTTCTAAAATCAAATGGAAACCCTGTTTTTAGTCGAATAAAATTGCTGAATTATTCTTTTAATTTTGAACAAATAACAATTATAATTTTGTTAAAGAATGGTTGTTTCTGCATTTTTTTTTCTTACTATTAATTTTATTTGCAGATCCATCGGGCTGGTGGTTAGGAAAACTAAAAGGAAAAGAAGGACTTTTTCCATCTAACTATGTTGAAAGCATATGAAATGCTGTGATTGTACTGTAAAAAAACAGAATGAGAACAGTTTGGAAACGAGTGCATAGTTTCTTGATAACTACTTACAAAAAAGTTGAAATAGCTGAACAAAAAAAAAATGACATATACTTAATATTTAAAATTCTGCCGGTTTGTTCCCAGTGCTATAAAATTCATTTAAATTCTCAAGAATCTTTTTTTTCTTTTGAAGAAATGTGTCTTAACAAGTGAAAGTCAATTCTCAGTAGCTATACAAGATTAGAAAATTACTGTAAGCCACGATTTAAGTTTTCACAATGGTTTTAGTAATCAGTGATTGTTAGTATAATTGTTGATTATGGGTGTTGAATAGTAGAAGGCGTTGAATATATATAATGTACAGTTGATCCTACTATGAAAACATAGTTGATATTTCAGATATATCTCTGAAATATTTTTTTATTCTTGAATATTGATAGTTCCTGAAAAAAATATCTATTAAACACAAACTCTTATGTTCTTAAATTTATGTATAAATCTCATACAAATGTTTGAAATAATGTTTCATATAAATGGTGAACTAGAAAATGTTAAGTTTTAAGAAAGGTAATAAAAGGTAGGAGTTACAGATCTAATTGATATTTATGGAGTGTTGTATGTTTTAAAGATATCTTTGTAAATTTCTAAAAAGTATTTTTTACAAAAATTATTAAAATGTGTCAAGAATATTTTTTTTTCTCCATGTTGTAAAATTATTGTGCCTTTATTACCTTTTTATATTTACTACAAATTTCTTAGCTATTTTAAATTTAAAATAAGTCCGTGCATATGATTTGTGGATGTGTTACTGTGAATGACCGAAATGGACAGTTATTGACTTCCCCTGAATGTTGACACTCACACTTTGGTAAAATATCTATACTAGTCCAAAATTTATACTAGATCTGGTTAAGTGCCACAGCCCGGCATACATTTGCCCAGTATGCCCTACATCAATGTTTTTTTTAAGGTTAAAGGCCACTGTCCGGTATACATTTAACAGGTTCTCCGAACACTGATGTTTCTCCTAATCTATCTTCAGCAGATATTAAAATATCAAATATATTAATATCAACGAATAAATTAATATCAAATTATATATAACAAATATTTCAGACATTCACCAAAGCAACTATTCACAAATTGGACATTCTCCGGATTTTCGTCAATCACGGTAACATATTTATATATATATATAAGCCTGGAGAATATCTTACGATTATGGGCTTATGACTATTTCTTTCCTGTAGTTGTAATTCTACATTTGTTACATTTAATAACGAAATGTATACTTACTGCGCTATGTTAATGTACTTTCATTAATTTCTTACATTTATAAGTTTTGCATTTTTAAAATTTAGTTGTTTGCATCCAGCTGGTTTAACAAGTGGACCAGAATAACAGGCTTAATTTTGCTATACTCCATATGCAACATGTTAATTAATGATTGTAACTATAAAAAAAAAAATTGTATATCTTGAGTGTTTAACTGAAACCATGAAATTAGTGTATAAAAATCTGATTATTAAATCAAGATTTATGTGATATTGTTGGGTATTGCCATTAGTAATGGCCTTTAACTACTTTAAATTAAGTATTAGTAGTTTATTTCCTATCATTTATAAATGGCAGTCTTAATTATTAATTAATTATAAATACCTCTTATTTATGAATAGTAATAATTATCTTTCATTTATGATTAGTACTCTTGTTAATGATAAGTAGAAATTACCTATCATGTATGATTGGTTTATTAATGATTAGTAATAATTACCTATCATTTCTGATTGATAGTAATTATAATATATGATTTGTACTATAATTATTGTTAAGTAACAATTACATGTCACTAGTATTGTACAATACTAATGTCTAGTATTGGTCTTAAAACGAATGATAAATAGTACTTACCTCTTATTTATCATTAGTACTATAATTAACGATTAGTGTTCATTACCTCTCTTTTATAATCAGTGCTCATATTAATGGTTAGTAATAATTACCTTTCATTTGTGTTTAGCACTCTTATTAAGGATTAGTTACTGTGACTGGAGGCAAAATATAAGGTAGGTTTATCCAGACCCAATATAAATATAATCTATGCAATTTACATTGCTGCAGGGCTCAAAGTTGTCCTTAATTTCCTTAAAAAAAAGAAATTGTCCTTCATTATTAAACATTTCAATTTATCTCCTGATTTTTTTACGATTTTTCCATTTTTTTTGTTGAAGTTAACTGGAAGTAAGAATATAATTTATCTAAAAGAGAATTTTAAAAACTTCGAATTCAGAAATTATGTTATATGCCATGAAACAAAGTAAATAATAAAATGAAAGTACGTCTAGTACAATATTAATCTACTTCCAGTATTAGAGAGAATTACCTTCGATTTGATGGCATAAAAGCATTCGATGTGAGGAAAATATATAAAAAGTTCTTACCTCACTATTCCCTCCTCATTACTATATCATACTCTACTGTTTTTCACAAGAGAATCCACGTATTTTGCTACTACTTAATGATTTTTCATATTTAACTATTTTCTCTCCTTTTTCATATCAAAAAAATTTTTTACTTTAAAAAATATAAATAATAATTAAATTCTTTTTTCACTTAAGTTTAGGAACTACTAAAACTATTACCAATTGTATATCTCTGAATCCATGTTGGTATTACAAATTGCTCCCATGAGAGAATCAGCAACCTTAAAATTGTTCTTCATTTTAGAGGCAATTTTGTCCTTCATTTTATATTTTGGACTCCCAGCCCTGTTGGTGTACCAAGTTTAACCTTACTCAGTTACTCTTATTAATTTACTGCTTGCTTGAATTGGCAAATAAAATAAATGTATATATTGATGCTCGATTTATAAAAACAAAAAATCAACGTAACACAAAAAAAAAAATTATATTTTTATTTATAGACCCTAGAAGCAATCATTCAAATTGTGCAAAACTATAAATGTTCCTTTTAGATGGATGCATTAAGCAATTTTATCTGTGATACTTTTAATTTCCAGCAAGGTTTTCATAACAGGAGAAATTTTGTATATGTATGTTGATGTTGAAAGCAATTGTGTATTGTTTAATAGAAGACCCTCAATTCGATGTTGATTCAATTCATTTGAAAAAGAGCTTTGTTTGGGTGTCTTATGTAAATAAATGAGAAAATTTTATTATAAATAAAATAACTAATGTGGAGCTTTTTTTTAGGTTACTTATGAAATTAAGAGTGTGTTTCACTTTTTGTACAAATGTATTACTAGTCTTATGAATAAAATTTTTATTTTGATAAAATTCTTTTTATTTTGCCTTTTTAGTCTATATATAAAATTGTTCATATTGAGATGCCTCTCCCTTCTATTACACAGGGTGCGTAGCCAAATCTTAGAATCAAAAATAAGCACTCAAAAAATTCATATTTAATCAATGATATTATTGAAAAACAAAAACTTTTTATAAACAGTTTTAGCGTTAAAAAAAGAAACGGGCGTAAATCGAAACAATCAGTACTTTCCCACATCACTGAGCGAATTCAACTTGACCCTGAACTCAGAACAAAAGTACCCTTACCCCCTACGTCAAAAAAAGTGTTAGAAGTAAAATAAAATAAACAAGAATAAAATTGAAATAAATTAAAAAGAAAAACATTTCATAAGGATCTGATATTCTCTATCGGAATTGGAGCACTCGGGTTTCGGTTTGAAGTGTGCGCGCATGTGCAAGTCATAACGTGGGTACGACATGAAGTCCGCATGAATGATTACATAGCAAACTCCCCATTTTTCGTGAAATGCATGGGATCCACCAGATATCACAGAAGGGGGAAAAAATTATTCGGAAAAAAGCACTTTTTAAAAACGCCAACTGAAAAAAGCACCTTTAAAAGCTTTTAAAAACGAAATCCCCAAAAAAGCACTTTTTACAAACGCTACGCACCCTGTTACATTAGATTTTCGGAGGAAAAAAACTGGATAAGTTATAGCTGTTATTAAATGCTATTTGCACTGTGAAACATATAATTTTAGAATATAATACTTTCTACGAATGTAGTTCTTTGTAATGGATTCTTACACTTAGCTGCCGAATCAGGAGTTTTATAGACCCTATACATAGGTATTTAAATTTTTAATGATATAAGAGGTACGTTTTGTTAAATGAGATGGTCAAGTTCAGTATGGTTTTCAATTTTCTTTAGTTAAATGTTCATTGAATTGGCCCCAAAAAAAAATTTAAAATTTTTCTGTTGAATATTAATAATTTATTTCTGTCTTGATTCATCAAAGTACAAGTTTCACCACCATAAGTCACTATAAACCTGATAACTGGTTCGTAAATTTTAATTTATTTAGTAATGAGTTTGTTAATGAATAAGTATTAGAAAATAGAACATTATGTGATTCATAAATTGAGACGCTTGGCAAGGTTAGATCATAGATAAAGAATAAATGAAAATATAGTGCTGTGAAAAATCTTAAATTGGAAACCAATGAACTAAAGACCCAAAGGAGAGATTGTTAAACCAGCACTTCCCAATTTTTTTTTTAGCTATGAATCATTGAATGATCAAACTTCTATTGGGGGAATCCTGAATTTTAAAAAAAAAATTTAGGCATGAGCAGTCACTGGAAAAAACTACATTATTTTTGTAGTTTACTACAGTACAGAACCCGTTATCCGGAAATCAGAAAACCGGAAAACCAAAAAACCGGAACGAAATTCGATAAATTTTCTCGCCATTTTTTTTTTTTTTAAGTTTTTTTCCTCATAAGATTTTACGATTTTTCTTTCTTTTTTTAAAGATGTTTACCTTACCATCATTTTGGAAATAATCATTAGTGTATTACTTCATCGTTTTTTCTTATTTTTAAGATTATTTCCAAAGACTTTTTTTTTAAGTTTGATTTTAACAATAAAAAACGGCTTTTTGTAGCGATTCAGAAAACCGGAAAAATCAGTTATCCGGAATAGCAATTGTCCCGACCGTTCCGGATAATCGGTTCCCTACTGTATAACTACTTTGTTACAAATGTAGTTAACTACAACTACTTTTTTTTTTATGTAGTGTCTACAATAGGGGTGCACAACCTTTTTGAGTGAAGGGGCACATGCACTGCAGATTGACCAATGAAGGACCGCATGCCAAAATATTTAGACATATTCACAGCAATTGTAGGTAGTAATTGTTATAAAAACATTGTTCTAGGCACTAAATTATTTTTGTAAGTTTACCTTGTAATATCTTTGCATAAAATTAATGTTTTAATGCGTTTTAAATGTTTAAAATTAGAAACTTCTTAACTATTTACTCAAAAAAAAAAAAAAAACGGAATCCGAAAATCAGAATCAATTTATCAGAAAAAAAATTACATAAATTTAAATAATTAAAAAAAACTATGGGAAAATTCATATTTTTTTTAAATCATATTACATAATAACATAAGTTCATTTAAACATAAATTTTAACCTTAAAAAATTTGCTCATAGAATTAAATTTAAAAAAAAAATATTCTAGTCATTAATGTAAATGCAAGTTAAATACTTTGATTTAAAAAAGTTTATAGGGTTAAAATTGAAACAAAACCCTTTCAGTAGAAAAAAAGATTTAGCATTTAGTAGGGAATATATTTAAACTTCAAAACATTTTTATTGTAAATTAATTATAAGAGGCAGGGGCAGAGAGAGGGGAGAAAAAGAAAGAAATCTCTAATTTTGAAGGAACTATTTTCCTGAATAATAAAAAACTAGTTAGATACTTGTTTACAACTTTTTACGACGAATATTTTTTTAACATCACACTTACTATTTACAATTAATGCACATATACATTAACAATTAGTAACATTTACATTACTTTACAAAACTTATTTTGATTACATTTTTTACAGTTGAAATTTAATGATATAAAAATCACTTCCAAGCATATAATCATAAATGATATGAAATGGTCCGAGTATATAGAAAAAGGTTAAAAAAAATTTCTTAATGGTTATCCTGTAATTTGCAAAATTTTTTAAATATTCTGATAATTTTATTCACCTGATCATGTGATAGCTTTTTCGAGTCATTAAATTAAAATTTAATGATTTTGTTTTAAGACTGCTCTGTAATTTTGAAAAGGCCACATTTATTCTGGAACACAGTCTTTCGACAAAAGCTGTTGTTGTGAGTAGGGGCAAATAACTTATTCAGTTTTGAAATTTGTCTTAGATGGTGTTCTTCCTTTTCCAGATTTTTAAATCGTGTGAATACGAATAGCAAAGTGTTATTTTTTAATTGCTTGAATACGAATTGCTATGTGTGACTTTTAAATTGCGTAAATAAAAAACGCAATGCGTAATTTTCAAATTGGCTGAATATGAATTGAGATTAGTGTTTCTTAAATTGCGAAAAGACTACTCACAACGCATGATTTTTAAAATGCGTAAATATGAATCGCGATATATGGTTTTTAAATCGCGTTGTAGGATATTTGAAAAAAGAAACAACATATATTTAAATGCCAGAACACGAATCGCATTACGTAATTTTTAATCTTGGGAATTTAGATAGTGATGGATTTTTAAATCTCGTTAATAGGAAATGTGATGGGCAATTTTAAGATCGTAAGCGTAAATACGAATTACGATGTGTGGCTTTTAAATTATGAGAAGAATTGAAACGCATGATTTTTAAATGTGTAAATATGAATCGAGACATGATTTTTAAATCATATGACAACAAAAAGAATAGGTTGGGTGTGTGTCGTTAAACTTGCACTTCTTGAACTAAAGAAATAAATATGTTTGTGTTTGGAATTATTTTTTAGCAAAAGGGACTGTGTTTGATATTTTATAAACAAATCTTTTTTTTTATTTTTATTCTTTTGATGAAGGGATCGATTTTGCCAAGAAACGTAATTACTTTTAAAGTTACAAAAAAAATTTAAACAGAATCGAATTTTACGAGTTATAAGATTGCGTTAAAATATCAGGATATTCTAAATCACAAGTAAAAATGTAGCAATAACTGTAAAGAAAAAAAATACACGTTCGAAAAACATCTTATATTTATGTTAAAATCGGCACAAATGGAGCACATAAAAAGTAAATATTTACGATGAAATTGGTATAAATAAAGCGCGTCAAAAAATTTAGCATTTAAATGCGGGATTCGAAATTAAAGTCGTAATAGCGTATACAAAATTTCGGGACTTTCAAAATCTTGTAGAAAGGTGTAGCAATAATTGCCAAAATAATGATTAAAAAATAATTTGATTTGCGATAAAATAAGTACAAAAAAACCACGTCAAAAAATGGTTATCTAACTGAGCGATTCTTTACTCACGATTTGTAATACTGTGCTAAAATACCGAAAATGCGTAGCAATAACTGCCAAAAAAAGGATCAAAAGTAATTTAGATTTTCCATGAAGTTTGCAAAAATAAAACGCTTAATAACTTTTAAAAGTCGCGATTTTAAAAACTACGTCAAAATGGGTAGCAGTAATTACCGAAAATTCATTAGATTTACAATGAAATCGGCACACAAAAAGAGCGTCAAAAGTGATAACTCAAATTCGTATATCCTAATAATGATGTACTGAAACTATTGGAATTTTCAAAACTACATTGAGACTAGGTGCGTCAAAAACTTAAATTTCAAGTTCCCGTATTGTTCTTTTTTTATTATTTTGTTAATATTGCAACAGCGGGTCGCACATCAAGGGTTGTCGGGCGGTATGTGGCCAGCAGGTTGTGCACCCCTAATTTAGGTAGATGTCATGGGTGCAAGTCTTCCGTCCCCAGGACGGATTTCCGTCTTTCGAAAATGTTCGCGGACGGAAGTAAGACGAAAACAAGACTGACTCGAAGATGGAAATCGGAAATTTTTTTTTCTGTCCTTAAAAATATTTTTAGGTCTACGTTATTGGTCTACTTTATTATGTCCTGTTGTTATTTTATCAAAACACAGATGAATAAATATTTTTTGTACAGTACTAAAACTTGATGTATTATGGTAAAGCTTTCCTAGATAGTTTGCATATGTCAAGGGGGTATTGTGTATGTTAGGTATTTCAGTCAAAAAATTTTCAGTCTTGGCCTTTTTTAAAACTTGCACCCATGGTAGATGTTCATAATTGCGTTTAACGCTTCTTGTTTAAGACCAGTAAGTAATGTGTTTTTTTGTAAGCTCATTGCTGAAAATCTCCTTGCAACCACTGGGCAGTATGTGATCAGAGGAATTGTTAATTCTTCTGTTAGAATTCCAAATGCACATGCACCCTTTCTTTTGTTTACCGATTATGTGAAAGTGAGCATTTGGTCCGACGAAGGAATTAACAGGATTTCTAGATTAGAGAGTCATTTTAGAAGTGAGACACTAGACTCTTGCAAGATAACGAAAATTGAAAATGTATCATGAACATTAATTGGAAAATGGCCGTCTGCACTGACGTCAGATTCGAGAAATTCGTTGTCCGCAGGGAATTTTTAACCGCCGAGGAGGAGCAGAAAGACGGTTTCTCGAGCCCTGATTCAATCGATACTCAATAAAATCTCTATTTCTGGCATTTCTAAGCCCCATGATATTGAATGTCAGTTCCGCCCAACTGAATTACAAATTTAAAAAATTGGTATCCTACTTTTAATTTATCGTAGTTGCTTTGGACAAATTCGCAGGCAGTTAAAATATTTATCTATGAAACTTGTTATGTAATGTTAGAGAGTGAGATTTCTAACTAAAATGAAAATAATCATGAACAGGTTCAGTTATTAGGTTATACTATCCTTGTGAACATTATATTATACTTATATACAGGTTATACTAGCATTTAAACATTATGTGAATAAACTTACAAAAATAAAGAGCCAGTAGTATGAACAGAACAGTGAGCATAAAATTCCTTTACAGAGATAAACTCAAGGAATTAACAACAAGAATAAGGTTTCTCACTAGTGTGAACACGATAGTGTCTAGTCAGTTCATTTCCGTGTTAAAAATTCTTATTACATATACTGCAAGAATAAGGTTTCTCACCAGTGTGAACACGATTGTGTGAAGATAGAGTACTTCTTAGTGCAAAACTCTTATTACATATACTACAGGAAAAAGGTTTCTCACCACTGTGAACACGATTGTGTAGAGTCAGATGACCCAGTGGCGTGCCAACTTTTTTTTGACTGGGGGGGCGAGCCAATGCANTCTTTGTGAAAAACTCTTATTACATATACTACAGGAAAAAGGTTTCTCATCAGTGTGAACACGATTATGTATAGTCAGTTCACTTCTTCGTAAAAAACATTTATTACATATATTACAGGAAAAAGGTTTCTCACCAGTATGAACATAACTGTGTTTAGTCAGAGCACTTCTGTTTGAAAAACTTTTATTACATACATTACAGGAAAAAGGTTTCTCACCAGTGTGAATATGATTGTGTTGAGTCAGATGACCTCTTTGTGAAAAACTCTTATTACATATACTACAGGAAAAAGGTTTCTCACCAGTGTGAATACGATTGTGTAAAGTCAGACAACTTCTTCTTGAAAAAAACTTATTACATATACTACAGGAAAAAGATTTCTCACCCATTTTAACAGGATAGTATTTAGTCCGGTCACTTCTATGGGAAAAACTGTTATTGCATAAGCTACAAGAATGAGACTTCACACCAGAACGAACATCACTGTACTTAGTTATATTACTTCGTTGTGAAAAACTCTTATTACGTATATTACATGAGTCAAGTTATTAACTGTCCATAAGTCTGACTGGTGGTCAGACTTATAGATTACTTTTCTATAAAAAAAAAAATCTTATTAAATGTTCCACAAGAATAAGTATTCTCGTTTTCTCCCAATATAAATAGTTGCCTATTACTTAGAAATCCTACTCTAGTTCCAGTTCGAAAGTTTGCAGCTGTTTACTATTGGGAGCAAGACAGGCAAATATTAATTGTATCGATTATGTTGTTTGGATTTATTATAATGATATTCTATGTCCAGACATTTTTACAAAAGTTTTTATTTATCGGTTTTCTGCAACTCTTACATTCCATCATTTTCAGTTGTCATCGCAACCAATGTTGCCAAAACCCACAACACTAACAAAACATACTTATATGCACCAGAGTAAGCTATAAGCCACAACAGTACTCCCTTCCCAGTAAAAGTTACGGTACAGTGTGGTATAAGAACGAACATGGTATTTACAAGTTACTTATGCTCAAATATTTCAAAACTCACTATTTACAAAAAAATATTATAGATATATATTTATAAGTGCTAGTCTCGAAATCGCACAGGAGCTTTAATTGTGCGTCCTATACGTGATTGTTTTTCAGGAAGTTTTTTTATTTCAGGAGGTAAGTCTAGTGGAGGTTCGGCAGGTTGTCTTATTGTCTTTGTTGATTGTCTTGTAGTAACGTCTGGTATTTGCAAGAAATATGCAGGTTTTAATCTATCAACAGACACTGTAACGCCACTGTTTTTGATTTTTACATGAAAATATTTCTCTTTTTTGTCAACGACTTGAAAAGGGCCATCATATGGAGGTGTGGCGAATAAAATCATCGCCAAGTCGA